AAAGGAAAGAAGGGAAAAGAAAAAATATGGGAAAAGGAAAAAAATGGAAACAAGGTCTTTGCAAATAGGGAAGGGTGGAGGGGGTGAAGGGAGGGTAAGAGAAGGGGGAAAAAATAAGAACCAAGGTGCTCATGTAATGGTACAAGATCCCAATGATGTATGTAAATGTATTTTATACTTAAAATGTACCAATAAACTTAATGGGGAAAAAAAAGCAAGAAGAAAGGATTTTCAACATTAAAAAATGATGAACATTTGAGGAAAGACCCCATTTAAAAAAATGTGAAAGACAAAGGTTGGGACATTTTGACAATTGTTAAGTAATTTAGGTGGCTAAGAATCTTCTATTTGGGCATGAACCAGAAGTCTGGCCCTTTTTGATGGGCACAAACTTCTTGAATAAGGGAATTTAGAATCAGTTTTACTTGACTAAGAGGACTTGGTGAGGACAAATGTTGCTAATGAACTAAGCAACAAAAATAACAGCAACTGTTGTAAATTAGTAATCAAGAGATGCTATAGTTAGATTTCTCTCAGAGTGAAGAGACAACTTACAGAATGGGAAAAAATATTTTGCCAGCTATTCCTTAGACAGAGGACTAATATCTAAACTATATAGAGAATTTAAAAAGTTAGACCGCATAAAATAAAATAAAATAAAAGACCCAATCAAAAAATAGGCAAGTGAAATGAATAGACACTTCTCAGAAGAAGAAGTACAAATGGGCCAGGGATTTAGCTCAGTGGTTCCACCACCTGCCTCGCAAGTGCGAGGACCCAAGTTTGATCCCCAGTACCAAAAAAAAGAGTAGGAAGTACAAATGGCCAGTGAGCATATGCAAAAGCATGTTCAACATCTCTGGCCATTAGAGAAATGCAAAATAAAAATAGCATTAAGGTTTTATCTTACAACAGAAAGAACAGGTATCATCAAGAAACCAAATAATAAATGCTAATATGACTTCCGTGAAAAGAGAAACCCTTCTACATTGTTGGTGGGAATATAAATCAGTACAGTGGTGTATCAGTTCACAAACACTTTCATTTGCAAACAATTTGGCTTGCAAACAGAAGCATTTGGCAAAATTTTGTTTTTGTTTGCAAACTGTGCTTTGGATGGCAAACACAACCATGGTCATCTCTCCCACACAAATACAAATGTGATAATCTTTTCCAAAATTGTAGGACAAATTAAGGTCATGAACCAAGGTACCACCATACAGCCATTATGAAAATCAGTTTGGAGATTTCTCAAAGAACTAAAAATAGAAATTCCCATTTGACCCAGCTATTCCTCTTCTAGGTATTTTCCCAAAAGAGCTAAGACATCATATTATAGAGATACATGGATACTAATGTTTACAGAGGCACAACTCATAATAGCTAAATCCTGGAAACAGCCTATATGTCTATCAACAGACTAATGGCTAAAGAAAATGTGGTACCTATACATAATGGAATACTACCTGTCTAAAAAGAAGGATAAATGTGAGGCATTTGTAGGACAATGGATACACCTGGAAAACATAATGTTAAGTAAAAAATTGGATACACAAACTTAAACACCATGTAATTCCTCTCATTTGAGTAATGCAAAGTACAAATAAAGAGCAAAATAAAAGATTGATGAAAGGAAACAGGAAGATAGATCTTTTGCAAATGGAAATGGTCTTGAGAGACCAAAGGTATGGGGAGGGGAGGATGGGAAGGGGACATAAAAAAATTGAAGATGTGGCAAGTACATGTACCAAATACAATGACTAGAAACATTTCATGTCATAAATATGAATTAAGCATAATAATAGGGGAAACATAAAAATGGGGAAAAGGGATCTAGGGACTGAAAGGGAAGTGTGTGGGAAGGGTAAGGAGAATAAAAAAGAATCAAGATATATTAAGTACATGTACCTACTCCCTGAGAAGAATGTAAACTTCATGTAACATGTACTAATAAAATAAAAACATTTTTAAAAAGGTTAGATTTCTTGTATCCATCCATATCTCTACCACGCGTCTTCTGTTATGGTAGGTGAAGAACCCTACAATGTTTTATACAGCATCTTTGAAAACTGGTAATTTGTATGGAGTGTTTCTGATAATGCTCTGTGAATCAGAGTCTCTAAATATCAAAGTATCTGAAATATCCAATTTTTTGGTTAATGGTTTTGATAATATTGAAAATACAAACCTGAGAATGGTTTTTGGAAAACAGCTATTACAACAGAATCATATCAACAAATTCATTTTTGATAAATTGAGTAAAGCAGTAGAAATGACTAATGATGCATTTTCTCACTAAGCAAAAATATTCTAAGAATATGAAGAAAAAAGAAAATAATTGCTAAGAGAGTTGCAGAATTTTCATTTAAAGTAGAAAAGTGGTTCCCTCATCAGAAAAATACCTTAATAGTTTGCTTTGAGAATAAAAAGTGAAGTCCATAGGGTATAGAATGAATAGTCAATGCCCAGTGAAAGAGTGCAAATTCTCGAAAGAGACTGTGTGGAGGTCCTGGGACCTCAAGAAGGGAAGGAAATTGAGGATGGTCTCAAGTGAGGAAGGGTCTCAGCAGAAGGTTAAAAGGCCTGAAGAGGAGAAAGGGTCAATGGGATATTTTGAGAAGCAAAAATGACACAAAGGTGTAAAACTTGGTATTTAATACTCCATTTTAATCTATTTGCTGTGCTTTGATATGATGTGATGTCCTTTCTTTTGATTAACTTACAACTGTCATGTTGGCAGTTGTTCTGGAGAATCAAAGAAGAGAGCTTGTGTTACCTATTTGGAATGGAGTGAGATAGAGAGAAAAGAGTAGTGGGAGGTGAGATGTGAATGAGGTGATGTATATGGTGGAAACTGGACAGATATTGGGGTTTGAGAAAACAAGAAGAAATAAAATCTCCTGGAGATTTTCCAATTGTGTGTGTGTGTGTGTGTAGGTTATGTCTGGTCTCTCTCTGTATCTGTGGTGCATTTGTGTGTATGCAGGCGGGAATATGATCTCTGACTATGTCTCTGTAGTGTGTTTTTATCAATGAATCTATATTTGAAGCTTTCTGCATCTGTGCGTGTATATATGTGTGTGTACAGTCTATGTGTATCTATAATGTATTTGTGTAATGGTGTGTGTGGTGTGCCTGCTGTCTGTATTTATCTGTGGAACGATGTGTGTGGTGTTTGTGTACCTGTGTGTTGTGTGTAGATGGGGATCTCTTTGTGTACATACATATGAGCAACTGAATTTTAGGGGATTAAAAAAAACTGCATGACCAAGCTCCAGAAAGGCATCTGAAAATACTAGAGGGCATGAGTAAAATCAAAGTGAAGCTTTTCTGATCTGGATTGGTAGTAGTTCTGAATATTATTTCACATTTCCTGGGAACTTTGATGTATTCTCTGGAACCACGAGAAGTCTTCATTCTTAAACATTTTTTCAGATGGTTTTATAGTCCTTGAGTATTTCAGATGG